AGAAGACAATAGTCATTGATTGCTCGTCCTTAAAGGGGTCCTTACTAGCTGAATTGATGGGACCTCCCCAAAATGTTATGTTATCATCTTTGAAGGTATAAATAATCCAAAGAATTAGGTCTCAGGTATGCAACCAAGACCATTGCAGCACAATAAATGTTATTTTCCTTTGAACACCAACTGACTTAAACATCGGATGAGATAAGTCGAATTTGTCTCTGACCCCTTTTAAACCTTGTTCCTTGTTTGTAGGAGCTTTTCGAGCATTCTTACCTAGATGTCTTTATCTCAAACTATTGCGTAAAAATACACATATGCATCGTTGACGATATCAGAAGAGAAAGTCCAGCTCATATTAAGAACAAGACAATGCAACATTTCTGGTCATCATATGTTTAGCTGACCTGAAGGAGTACAGGTCAGCTGTGAATCCCTTGAAGACAAGTGATAGCTCCAAAAGTTATCAAAAGGGGTAGAAGATGACTTTCATAAGTAAACTCTACATTGGGCAAGAAGTCACCACTTTTAGAATGCCACGTCATTACTTCTAAAAGACCACATCACACTTCAAAAAAAGTGTCTCTAATTGCTAAATATCCCTTAAATATTATTTGACAATTCAGTTATAAAAGACAAATGATTACTAAAAAGGTAAATACATATGTTGCCCTAGAGAGAGAACCATTGTACTCATATTCTTCCTCAAACAATACACTCAAAAAGTAAGAGTCTTCATTACAGTGAACTAACTCAGTTGTTCAGTTGAGCAAGCTACTATTTTTTTTTTTGTATTCTTATTCATTTCACCACACACACAATACATTTACCTTACAACTCATTCTTACTCACGCTTCTTAGCTATTCACACCATCAGTCGTAGAATGTGTTTATACCAAAAATAAAAAAATTTGAGAATAACACATGGCAGTGATCCAACAATTAGGGAAAAGTTAGTGAGAGACCAAGTATAACACAGTTAAGGAAGTAGAACTCTCAAAAATTCAAAAAAAAATGGCGTGACATCATGAGCTGTCAATTAAAGACGATTCAGTGCACATTTGAGAGTATCGGGGAAAGAAGCCAGATTGCAATCATGATCGAAAAAGATGACTTTAACGGTTGATGTTATCTCCTATAAATATAGAAGGCATGGCTACAAAGAATAAATCTCTCCATCAATACAACAACTACACACAGAGTAAGCCTTTCATTTACTTAGTTTATTTTTCTTCAAAATTTCTTTAGCTTTTAACCCGTCATTCCGGTGATCTTCATTTTTCATTTAATGCTAAATACAGTAGTTTGCACAATTATCTTTGTCAATCTTTTTGTTACTTTCAATTTCAATTGTTTTTCTGCATTTCAGTTTATTACATTGTTATTTGGAAACTAATTAAGTCTTTGATCTCCAAGGTTGTGAGAAGAACCTAAACGTAGCATTACTCTTCATTATAATCACTTGAACAATCACGATTTTAGAACTTCACGCCTATTCAAATTGGTAAGGTCATCCGTTTTTTGATTTTAAGTTTAATCGAATTTTGGCACGTCTGCAATCCAAATATACGCTAGACATAATGATATCATATTATATATTGTGATTCGTTGACTATAACTCGAATGATTCAATCAAAGCATTTGAGACGCCTCTAAATAAACCATGTAGCGCAAGTGAGATTTGTGATTTATATGAATTATATATCAGTCTCAAGAAAAGAAGATGTTGAGATTGTTGCAACTCAAATGAGTTATATCAATTGCGACCAATATATTGCTTTCAAATTTAATTCGGATCCAAGTATAATTGATCATATATATATATATTGGAATTTTTAACTTATTATCTAAATTTGAATCTAGATTCATTATATCATATTCCATCCTGCAGATATAAATTAATAATTAATTCGATTATTATTTGTTTGTGATGATGCACAAATTGATTTGCACACCACTTATCAAGTAAACAGTATAAAATCCAGTAAAATAAGTTAAGAGGGAGAGAAAACAAGGTTTATAGTGGTTCGGTCACCGTGACCTACGTCCACTTTGAATGGCAAGAGTCGCCAGTATTTTATTAACGCCGGTGTGTAGGGAGAGCAAAGAGTTACAGGGGAGGAGAGAATTATGCTCGAATGAGTCTGATGCCCCTCAAGTGTTGGTAGAGCTTACAATTTATAGTGGCTTAATGTAGTAATTGAATAGTTAGTCTGACGATCATAACAGGTTGGGGCCGTTTAATAGTCATAACATAGTGGGGTGACTTTAATAGTAATTAAATAGTTTGACGACCTCTTCTCTCCTCTCCTCAACTGGCAAGGAAGTTATGGTGCTCTCCAAAGGACTTGGTCAAAGGATGAGAGAATGTTAACTCTCGCTAGGTCGTGAGAGAGAGGCTCATGGAATGACTCTTACTCCAAGGTGGCGAGGAGGAGGCACTTAGATAACCCTTATTGTAAGGTGTTAGAGGAGGCTCTTGGATGACCCTTGTGTACTCCTCGCCGATGTAGCTCTTTGAGCTTGACCAGGATGACCACATTGGGCTAGACTTTGTGGATCTCTTGGAGTTGGGCCTTTAACTCGAACCTGGCTTATAGCATGAGTTGGGCCTTTGGGCTTGGCCCATCATTTGCCCCCTAATATCTTGTGTCTAATAGAACTTGAAAATGAGGACATTCAATTTGAGTTTGAATTTTCGGTTGATCGACATAACTTAAAAAACTTCGGGAGGCCAAAACATGTGCCTTTTTTGGGGTTTTAATAATATCACTCACAGTCATAGGCTGTGAGTTTTGTAGGGCTCGCCGACAGCTTCGATTTGATATATTATGAGTCCCATTTAGAGTAACAGACCGAAAGTTATGGTCAAAATAACGAGCAAAGAGTTGGACGTGCGATTTTGGGCAAGCAGGCAGCTTTTGGGTGAGCAGGCAGCGTCCTGGGCAAGCAACTAATTTTTTTTTTAAAAAAACTTCAAAATGCCAAAACACATGTTTTTGAGCCTTTTTTGGACTTTTTTTTTCAAACAAATTCTTTAAATTTTAATTTTAAATAATAAAAATTAAATTTTGTCAAATATTTTTTTTTTTTTTTGGGGAGGGGGAAGGGGGACTTGAACCCTTAATCTCAAGAAGACAAAGCCTTTACAAAATAAAAAATATCATTAAATCAAAGACTCATTAGTTTGTCAAATATTTAAATCCATAACGAATCGAAATTCTAAATTCAAATTTGAATTTACTTTAATTAAATTTCCTATGAGATACATTGATCGGCATATTTTCCCAACACATAAAAAAAAAAAAAGGAGAAAATTTCAGTCACACTTCTTCTAGTTTACTATATCTTCAAAGACACTTTCTCTATTATCAAAACATCATCGACACCCCTTCTAGTTTATATTTAAACATCACTGACACTCTTGCCATTAAACCACAATTTCTAGCAAAAAAAAATAACAAAAATACCCCTATATAAATACAAAACAATCTTTCTATATAAAATTCGAGCCGATTAAAATTTATTTTTCTACAGTTTAAAATTTGAGCCAATTAAAATTCGATTCGATTTGATTAAAATTTTTTTTTTAACATATTAGAATTTGAGTCTATTAAAATTCTTTTTTTAAGTATTAAAATTCGAGGTGATTTGAGATCTACCTGAGATGTTAGTGCCAATTAAAATTCGCTTTGAGTTGATTAAAATTTATATATTTTTAATTATTAAAATTCATGCTAATTAAAATTCGATTCAACTTGATTAAAATTTATTTTTTATGTATTAAAATTCGACTCAATCAAATTTTAATCGATCCAAATTTTAATACTTACAAAATTTATAAAACATAAGAGGTTTCATTAAAAATATGTCTATCTCGAAGAGGTGTGGATGAAGTTTTTCTTCAAATATATCATGAGAAATTTAGTAAAATTATATTTTAGTTAATACCTTTAATCGGAAGGAGGTATAGTGAAGATTCAAAAAATAAAAGAGATGTATTTAAAAATATGATAAATTAGAAGGGGTATGGCTTTTATTTAGGGCAAAAAGTTGACCTCGACGTCGAGGGTATCCATGGATAGGTCCCACTGCACTAATTGTAGCATATTCAAACAAGACCTCCCAAAATTCCTGGTCGGGGATGTGGACTTTATTATTATCTTCCTTAGCCTTTCCTTATCGGATGGTAATAACCAACCGGCCAAAGATGTTACACTTACAAACAAATTTGGATGCTTAGCAAAGAATCCAGAGGCTAAGTGGCCAAAGGTTTTGAAAGTTTTTTATTTTTTTATCAGCAAGAAAAGATAGCACTTCGGATTTATATCCCCAAATTTTTTTAAAAAAAAAAAACATTTTTAAAGATCACTAGTTATGAACAGGTCGGCCTGAGACATTTTGGGGCCCAAAGCAAAAATAATAAATAATTTTTTTTTATTTTTAATATTAATAATAAATTTATTTTTTTATGCAAAAAATATAAATTAAACTTTTGTTATCATAGTTAAATTTGATAGTAAGAGAGAAAGAGAGGAGGAAAGAATGATTTAAAAATTGATGGTAAATTTGAATTTGATTTTTTGGGGGGGTTAAGGTTTGATTTTTAGTAGATTTAATTTTAGTGTTAGTTTTTTTTAAAAAAAACAGTAATATTAAATTTTAGTAAAAATTGAAACCAAGTATAATATGATGATCTATTTTGTCAAAATAGATCTAGGTGCAACTCTTTTAAGGCCTAAGCGCTTGTTTAGATGAATTTTGATGAGCGGTTTGGATTGTCTTTTTTAAATCATTCCAAGCTCAAACTTAAACTCAAACCCCTTTTTATAAAAATGTGATTCAACATTTAATTCGATTTATACTCATGTTTGGTATACAACACATATACATATAGGACTCACGGATATATCATAATTATTAATAACTATTTGTCATATAAATAACTATTTTATCTTTGATCAATTCAATTCATACACATGTTAAAACGTACAATTAACTTTTTAGAAAAGAACAAAGTCTATCATCTCATATTTTCTTTCGGCCTGTGATTCGATTCTGGAGCCGTAACTGGCCGTACGCTTGTGGCCGATCTCCTTCCATATGACCTGTGTAGATGAATATCGAAATGAGGAGAGGAAACATCCGAGAAAGAGCAGGAAATTTGCAAGCGCAATGGATTTCCGTGGGACTTTTCTTGGCGTATAGTCAAATTTAGGATCGTATTGTCTTCCACCGCTACCGTCATAATCATCGTCTTCATCGGCAGGGAGACGGCTGTAATGAATGTTCCACCTAGATGCCATGGATTTCAATTCCAACGCTAATTTGTTCCAATTCTATGAAAACTCGTCCAATAGAGATCAAAATCAATTAAGTTACAAATCATGAGTTACATATGAGCTCATCGTTAAGTTCCCACCGGTTGTCGAAAGGATCGTCGGTATAAAAGGAGAGGAAACGATTTGCTTCTGGAATGGAGTAGCCCAAATATTGGATAGGGTGCAATGAGAGTCTAGCTGTATATATTATCTAAATTAATCTTAAGAAAAATGCTTGTAAAGTAAGATCAGATGATCAAACTCACAAACATATGTATATGTTCAAATGGTGTTTGATAAAATGCATTATTAATCAAATGTATTTGGACAAAATTTCTTTGGTATTAAGCAAAATTTATTTCAAATTTACACTTTAAAATTTAGACAGTAATAACAAAATTCACTATTTTTGTCATTGTTATTGTGATCATGTGGCTATCTAACACACAATATTGTCTAGTTCCGTAGAATTTTGACTGTGGCTGTTATTGTAATCGTGTGACTGTCTAGTCTATGTTACTGTTTAATTTTGTAAAATTTTGACAATGACTATAATTGTTATTGTGATTATGTTACTATCTAGTTCACCACCACTCTATGCTCGAGCCCTACTATCTTTTATAGTACCTCTATTCTCAACTATTACCCCTTACACCCCATTCACACGAACATTACTGTTAATGTGATTGTGTTATTGTTATTGTTATCTCTGGTTGATACTGTCTATTTTGTAATATAGTTATTTATTTTATTAAGGATAAATTAATCTTTATGTTTTTAGCTGTCTTGTAAGTCCCCAAAAGTACACGCATGTTCTCTTTCTCTCAAAAGTTCACAAAGTGTGGATTGGCTTCCAAAAAGTGTTAAATTTTAAGGCATTTTAACTTCATAGACTGAATTAAGAGGCCAATTCATTCAAGTTAAAATATTTTGTTTGAGATTAAATTTAAATTTTTTATGTGACCTATTTTTTTATGAATTCAAATTTTTTATTTTGGCTATTATTATACACCTAAAAATTATAAAACGTTCCTTAAAGTGTAATCTAAAGTCCAAACTTTATTGACCAAGTAATTGGGTCTGCCCTAGTAATGAATTCAATACAATCCACTTATAGTGCACTTATTCCTAGCAATGTGCGATGCAAGTAAAATTTTTTGTTGAAACATTTGATAAAAAAACATAAAAAAAATTAATTATGTAGATATTTATCTAACATTTATCATTCTCTTGATAATTATAAACATCCAATAGATTCATTTTCTATGATTCTTTCATTCGAGTCACCAAGCAGTAAAGTTTATAGATTTTTTTTTATTTTGTCTTTCTTGTTTTTACTTTGTGCATCAATATTTTTTTACTAAATTATTTTGATTGTGATAAGATAAATATATACATTTTTTTTTTTACATTAGAGATGATGTTGTATTAATAGAGTTGTTTGTCAATGTGTATTAATATTGAGTTTTTTTTAAAAACATAATAATGTTATTTTTATATTATATTATGTTAAATATAACATAAACATTCAAAAGTTTTGCAAAGATATAGAGATTTATATAATATGCTAAATATTTGTTTGTTATTTAAATATAAAGGGATATTATGATAATTTATATATTTAAATATAAAATGATATATTAGCTTTTATAGTCAATGATCAAAATATCGTTTCAAAATAATTGAAACATCAGAAACGTTTCTGTTTCTAAGGAGAGCAATATGAATCAGTGTTAGAATTGAAATTCTAATACTTCAAGATGTTTTATAATATTTAAAAATGTTTTGTTATATTTCAATACATTTGCATAATTATTTTGGAATGTTTTAAGGTATTTCAAAATATTTGAATATATTTTAACTAATATTTTGAAAAAATAATTCTTAAATTTTTTATTTTTTTTCATTCTATTTTCAAAATGGGTCGAAACGTTTCAAAAATACGTCGAAACGTTTTCTTTTCCTAGATGATCGAAACAATGCACCGAAACAAAATTTTGATTTTTGTTTATAGTTCTTTATAAGGGCAAAATAGTGAATCAAAAATTTTTCATCTTAAGGTACTTTTATTAGTAATATAGACATAGATGATGTATATGATATACGGTGAGTTATGTATCATTAAATAATAAGAATTAAGAAACATATGATTCGTTTGGTTGTCGTATTAGAAATGGACGAGAGTAGATAAAATAATACAATCTAATACAACACAGAAAGACAAAAGACAAAATTAAAATGGAGTATTAGAATAATATGTAATTTATTCTAGTGTTTGACAATGCAAAATATAAACGTTGGATAGTAGTTATTTAATTCAATTGGTTGTTTGGTTAGAGAATTATTCATCGTATTAATGTTGAATTAACAAAAATTCCATTAATTAGTGTTTGTTACATTGATGATAACTTGATTTTATCAGTTGAGGGGTCATAACAGTAAATGAATAGATTAATATGTTTGAATTGGATTATCATATCACTTCTCTTTGTGGTATTAAAATATATTTATAATACAATTTTATCGTATAAAAAATATACGATAAATATATGTTTTTAAAATTAATACGATATCAAATTTGCTTACCAAAGAAAGTAAGAAAAATACTACATAATTCAAATAAAACCCAAAAATTAAAACTCAAATGTATATCATTCTTTGGACGAGCTTGAGATAAGTGGGTCCTACTGAAAAAATTGATGGGATCCATTCATCTAAGGGATGATATGCATTTGAGTTACAATTTTTTGGGTTTTGTAAAATTACTCATAAAGTATTAAGCCCCGATTAAATAAAAAATAGCATAATATCTAATCCCTTCATAATACGTCTACCAAACGAGTCCATAGTGTATTAGAAGGGATTTGAATCTCAAATATTTGTAATAGTGTGTTTAGGAGAAGAGCTATCTTAGAGGCAACTGGAATGAACTGGAATATAAACAAGGGTGAATCTGAAACTATAATCTGAAGCTTGTTTATGAGCTGCTAAAGGCTAGTGATGCTCCTTGGGATGAAGAGAGAAGCTAAAAAAAAGAAAGATTAGTAATTTATTTTGATTAAGAAAAGAGGAAATGTAGAAAAAAGAATTACAATGGAGAATTAGAAGGTGATTATAAGCTAAACTCATTATATATACATTTCGATTAAAACACAATAAGATCGAGAAACAGTAAGTCGATTAAGTGTCAAGTAATTTGAAAATATCAATTCAATAGGGTTTATGAAGGAGAGACAAGCATCCAATATAAAAAAAAAATAAAATGACTCGAATAAAAGATAAAAATTATCACAAAAATTAATAAATAAAGATAATTAATTGAGGTTTGGGCATGCCGTCCATGGTGAGGTGATTATGATCACAAGCCAACTTTTTTTTGGGACTTCCTACTTAGGCCCATACATATCTGCCTACGACATGCTGGCCCAATCTTATGTACGGTCATGTCTTGTGAAACTAGCCTCAAAATTAAAGACTAATTTCACTTCACACCCGAAAAGATATTTTGATTATCAATTTACACTCTCAAACATTAAAAATTTTAATTTGCACCATCAATATTACAAATTGGTAGCAATGTAAATCTCGTCTAAATTGTAGTTCATTTTTCTCTAATTAAGGCACGTGATTTGCAAAGTACTTCGGGTATGAGTTTATGTGTAAATTTACAGATTGTTGGTGTCTTATGTGTGATGCACATGATAGGATTAACCACTATCTGATTAATAAAATCTTATTTTTCATATACGAAATGGTGCTAAATTCATCGCAAACAAAAATCTGTAACCATGGATATACCTCATCCTTATGTCTAATACACTTGAACGTCGCGTTCTTTAATTTATGACGAAAAACTGAACTGTAGGCCGAGTCAAATTCACATTGATATCAAATTATAACATTGAGGGTGCAATTAAGATTTTTAATATTTATTAGCATAAATTAAAAATTAAAAAATATCTTTCGAGATGCAAAATAAGATTTGTCCCAAAAATAAATAATGGGCAAACACATACAATTTTTTGTCAAAAATAGATAGTAAAAAAAAAGGTGGGCCAGTAGTACCTCATCTCGTGTTACGTTGGGATCATAAACAAATTGATCGTTTAGTTCAATTTTAGATCTTGATCAATAAAAGAATCCAACTTCAGCAATGATTTGGATAGTGAAATCACGTAACATGGTATTATCGTTACATATAATATTTATTTAAGAGAGTTCGAGATGACAATTCCTTGAAGTCAAACTTAAATGATAATAGAGACGAACTGTAAATTCAGAAGACATTTAGTTCAATGATACTCCTTATTTTATGAAAATTTTACTTTCTTAATGTCGAGAGTTCAAGTCTCTTTTTCCCCTCCTCCAAAAAAAAGTGTAAACTCAGATATCTTAAGTTCAAAATTTTGACAACTCTTTAGAGCATGGTTAACCTAGTTCCAAATGGTCTGTCTTTGATCGGACGGAAAAGGAAATTAATCGAGTTACGTACAAATTGACTCGAACATCCTTAACCGTTCAAAATAAAAAACAAAGAGAGGTGACATAGTTATTTGTTAATCTGTGTCAAGGATTGGGTCTGCTTTCAAATCTACATAAAATATGAGGATATCCATATAATTAAACCTAACATACATGGACATGCGTGAAATTTTTAATTATTATTATTTTTTTGAAATTATGAATTGAATTGAATTAATTAAAATTTTTTAAAAAATGTTGTCTAATGTGAATCTATACATCGTGGTTTAATGGGCTTTTACAAATTTAGTGTGACTAGTTATATTATTAGAAATAGCAAGAGCAGGACTACTTTTGAAAAATAAAGATTCATTGATTACTAAAAATTTGCCTTTAAAGGGGGAGAAGTAAGGGTGTCCGCTCATATTATTTTTAGGGTTAATTTCAAATTACACTCCAAAAAATCTCTTGAATCTCAAATTATATTCTTAGAATTTAAAAATATCAATTTATATCCTTAAAGA